GGAGGAACCAGTTGAACATAGATGGAAGTGGGGGATCGAGGAGATTGCAGTATGGACCAGGACACATACCTCGGAGCAGAGATCGCAAACGACTGCTGGTGGAATGCACACGTGTCCAAGGTAGCGGCAAGGGGCAAAGCACGAGCAGGGAAGCTGCACCCAATACTCGCAAACCGGCACCTCGATACACGCATCAAATTGACGGTTTTGAAGAGCGTAATCGTACCGCCGCTAGAGTACGCCGGAGAAGTATGGAAAAGAAATAATAAGGTAGAAATAACTCAAGGCGGCGCAGTTGAAAGCAGCGAAAATCATCCTAGGATGCTCCAAGCACACAAGTATTGCAGCCGCCAGGGCAGAATTGGGGATCCAATCCCTACGGTCGGGAAGAGACGCGAGGAAGCTGACATGGCAGTATCGCATGTGCGGGATGGGAGAGGAGAGGTTGCCGAGGATTGTATGGGAGGCGAAGTGGGCAAACAAAAAGAGGGGTAGACAACCCACGGAATGGGTCAAGGTTGTAGAGGACGTATGGAAGGGGCTCGACATCGACGAAGATGAAACGCTGGAAACGGAGGGTCTACAGGGGTTCAAGGAGAAGATATCTGTTGCTTGTGCCGAGAGAGAAGAACAGATTATAAAGAAAGAAACCAAGGATAAGGAGGGTCTAGAAGAACGGAAGGTTGAAGGAAGGAATAGGGTTCAAGGAGTACCTACATGGACCAATGGACGCAGGAACAAAGCTTAAGGTCAAATTCAGGACCGGGGACATCGGCCTTCGAGAACGTCGACGAAGACATAGGACGGTAGACAACGAAGACGACGAGTTCAAATGTGATTGCGGCTTCGAATGCGAAGACCGTGTTCATGTAGTCGCGGAATGTCCGTGATACAAGAAGGAGAGGGAGTGTTTGTGACTGGGCTGGGAAAAATAGATGGAACGTACAGGGAGATGTTTGAGGCATGGAATAGAGAGGAAAGGACGGTAGCTGTACTGGGGCATCGGAGGTACGTTGAAAGAGCGGGAAGGGATATCGTTAGGATAGA